AGGACTGCAGTGAGCCAGGCGTCAGGATTGCACCTGGAGACCCCAGTCCAGCCTGGTGAGTGTGTCTGGCCATGGGGAGAGAACAGGGGCGAGTGGGCTGTCTGCAGTGAGGATCAAGAGGAAAAAGCTCAGTGGGCTGGGGGAAAGGGGCAAGGCCAGATCAGAAGGAGCTGGAGAGGAAGACACCTTCTTGATGATAGGCCAGAGGTTGGCCCAGTTGCGCTTTCATCAAAGGATGTGGTCCCTACCCTCTCCCTGCCCCTTCCTACAAGAATTGCCTTCCACTCACTATTTTAACTTCAGCTCCTAAGAACCATCAGCACATCCCGAGCCCACTCACGGTATTCAGATTAATAAGTGATTAGTGAGGTATTAGATGGATCTCCACCCTTGATGGGGCAGTGGGGGCTGTCAAACTGACATACCCTCTTTTGAGGTTGCAAAGCCCTGTGCCAAACTTTGGTAGGTGTTCCAGATACCACAGAAATTTTCTGTCTCCTCCTAGCTTCCTCTCTCCTGGAAGGAGAACGTGAAGTAGTCACTCACTCAGATGAAGGAGGAAGGGGCCCTCCTGGTCTGGCCCAGTGGGTTCCATTAAGAGAAAGCTGGGAGCTAACCCACACCAAGGTGAGATGGGACCCTTCTGGGATAGGGGAAGTGGGGCAGGGAGATACCTGGGGAAATTCCCCAGCAGCGGCCAACACTGAGGATTGTGGGTATAGCCAGGTAGTCCTGGGCTTTAGATGTTAATTGGGTCTGGGTTTGCTCCTGATGAGCCCTTGCCCTCTCCAGAGAGGGACTGGCCTCTGTTTACCAGGTGTCTGGGGCCTGGAGGTGAGAGGTCACAGTCTGGTATATATTTGTATCACCATCAGATCAGTGCTGAGAGATCTGACACTTGTCAGCCAAAGCATTCATTCATTCACTCCACAGTATGTATTGAGAAGCTACTGTGTGTTAAGCACTGTTCTAGGTTCTGGATATACAGTAGCAAATAAGTTCACATTCTAGAAGGGGGAGGCAAAAAGTAAACACATTGTAAAATATATAGTATGTCAGATGGTGATAAGTTCCCTGTCATAAATAAATAAGGCATGGAAGTGGAAGTGGGGAGGAGGTATTGCAAATTCAAATTGATTAATCAGGGGGATCTTATTGAGAAGATGACATTTAAGTGAAGACCAGAAGGAGCTGAGGGAATAAGTCATCCAGATATCTGGGGGAAGAACATGCCAGGAGAACTGCAGGTGCAAAGGCGCTGAAGAGGAAATATGCCTGGTTTGGTTAGGGATCAGCGAAAAGGAGACCGGCAAGTCTGAAGTGAATAAGGAGAATGACAGGAAGTGAGGTTAGACTCAGAGCAGTTGCAGGATTGGACTGGGGAAGGATTTACAAACCAGTGTAAGACCTTGGATTTTACTTGGAATGAGTGGAAAGCTATGGGGAGAGGGAATGAACAAGGGAGCAACAAGATTTGATTAAGTCTTAAAAGAATCAACGCTGGCTGCTGTATTGAGAACAAGACAAAGAAGGAGGGATCACTCTTCCACCTTGTTCCTCTCCACAGGACAGCCCTGCCTGCCACCTGATGCCCTCCCCTGGCCCTGTGCTGCTACCGTCCATTCCCCGTCCATCCCCCTTCGGATTGGCTAAGCGTGTTCCCTCCCCTGGCTCCTCAGCTCTGGTTTGTGTCCACAGCTCCTCGGGGCTGGGCAAGGGCAGAACAGTCTGGCTGGGATCCCTGCTAGGTCTAGGTTTTTCATTGCTCAGCTAACTCCATCTCTCCCCAGCCCTCATATTCAGTGTTGCGGCGTCTTGCCATTCGCCCCAAAACCCAGTTCACACCCATCCCATCAGCCCCCAAAGCTCAGCAGGTAAGAGAGGGCAGGGGAGGTAGCTGGTATAGGAAGGGAATGGATGGGTATAGGAAGAGTTTTTACATCTCACTTCTGTCCCAGGCTCAGTGTTTGAGTGGCCTCTCTCCTCAGTCTTGCCCTGAAGAGCCTGCTCTGCCCTGGGTAAGTGCCCACAGCCTTTCCATGCTGAAATCCCTCGCTCTGTCCTGTTGGCCTGAGGTCCAGCAGTTTGTGGCAGGTGGGCTCTCTGGAAAAGCTACCTAACTCTCCAAGTCTCCCTGCTTCTCTGCTGTCCCTCCTAATCTTAGTCTAGGGCAGTGGTCGGCAAACTCAATAGTCAACAGAGCCAAATATCAACAGTACAACAATTGGAATGTCTTTTGAGAGCCAGATTTTTTAAACTTAAACTATATAGGTAGGTACATTGTTATTAACTTACTTAGGGTACTCCTAAGGCTTAGGAAGAGCCACACTCAAGGGGCCAAAGAGCCGCATGTGGCTCACGAGCTGCTGTTTGCTGACCACGGGTCTAGGGCAGAGGTTCTCAACCTTGGCTGCACATTAGAATCACCTGGGAATCTTTTTAAAATCCTGATTTCTGGGCCTCATCCCATAACAAAGAAACAGAATTTCTGGAGGATGAGGCCCAGAAATCAGGATTGTAAAAAGATTCCCAGGTGATTCTAATGCACAGCCAGGGTTGAGAACCACTGCTCTAGAGCCTCTCAATTAGAAACCTGACCCCTTCCTCATGAGGGTGGGACTCAGGCGGGTCTTCCCTTCCCAGCCAGGCTTCCTCACATGGCCCCTCTCTCTTCCCATGTGGCAGGAGCAGATTGCAGTCCGGCTATTTGACCAGGAGAATTGTAAAAGGTTACAGGAGGGGTCTGGGAAACCACCTATGGCAACTCCTCATGGACCCCACCCTAGCAGGACCCCCAACCTCCAAGAACTGAAGATGCAGGTGGGTCTTTGTGGGCAACCGCTTTGATGCCAAATGGGCAGAGACAGGACTGGGGAAGGGAGAAATGGGAGGCGAAAGGGGGTGTGGGAATAGGACAGTGTGGGTAGAGACTTGAACCCTCCTCTTGACATCACACTGGGGTATTCTCTCCCACACAGCGCATCAGTATCCTGAAGCAGCTTTTGCAACAGGAGGTAGAGGGGCTGGCAGAGAGCAAGTGTGCCCCTCTTAGTGGAGGCTCCTCTCTGGATATGGTTGAACTTCGGTCCCTGCTGGCAGAGATTCCTAGAACTCTGAATGCCCCAGTGCAGAATTCTGGGGCTTTCCGCCTTCCTGAACTGTTACAGCACTCTGGACTGCCAAAGCCCTGCTTTCCAGAGGAGTGTGGGGAACCACAGCTCTGCCCTGGAGCAGAGCCTGAGGCAGCTCGGCCCTGCCCTCCGGCAGAGCCAGGGCCCCCAGAGCCCTGCCATAGGAGGGAGCCTGAGATACCAGAGCCTGCCACCCAGAAACAGCCTGAGGTATCTGAGGCCTGCCCTCCCATAGAGCCTGGATCCGGTCAGGCCTGCTCCCAGGGGCAGGCTGGACTTTCAGAGCCCTCTCCTCGGGTAGAGCCTGAGGCTTCAGAGGCCTGCTCTCTGGAACCTCGGAGTACAGAGCCTAGTCCACAGTCCTGCTGCGGTCAGTGGGCTCCAGCGACCACCAGTGTGATCTTCTCCACTCAACGCCCACTTTGTGCCAGCCCCGCTATCCGCTCACTCCAGTCTCTGAGGCCCCCAGCAGGCCAGGCAGGTAAGTAGCTGGTTGGAAGGGGCTGTGAACAAAGGAGGTCCTCATCTCACTGGGAGCAGGACCTCTGCCCTGCACCCGGTGATGCCAGGCTTGCTTTCTTCCACCTACCTTGCTCAGCCTGGCTTGCCTTCAGGAAGATGGGAGGAGCTGGGCCTCCAGTCCTGTGCTCCTAATTGGCTTGCCTCTTGGTGGGGGATCGAGAGAGGGCAATGTAAGGTGAGAGTATAGAACTCCAGAGCCCACCCTGAACTCTGGCCCATGGACCCCCAGGCCCCAGCAGTCTGGCTCCTCGAACCCTGGCCCTGAGGCAGCGCCTCAAAGCATGTCTGACCGCCATCCACTGCTTCCACGAGGCGCGCCTGGATGATGAGTGTGCCTTCTACACCAGCCGAGCCCCTCCCTCAGGCCCCTCTCGTGTCTGCACCAATCCTGTGGCCAAGTTACTGGACTGGCAGGACGCCCTGGTGAGCCTCCCCATCCACAGCCAAGCTGTGCCTGCCTACACAGCAAACCTGTGGGAAGTAGGAAGCAGAGCAAAGGGGCCAACCTTGGCTCCTTTATAAAGATTATTGGGGAAGTGTCGGCTCACTTCAAGGATGGCTGGGCTGTGACAAGGTCTTTCCCTCTCTCTCCAGTGTTTTATTCCAATTGGTTCTGCAGCCGCTCCGGACTCTCCGACATGAGGCACCCACTTCCACCCGTTCCTGCCCTGTCTTGATCCTTCCTTTTAGCCCTTATTTATTGCCGGTCCACCCTATGGAATTGGGAGTCGAGGAGTCGACACCCTTTTATCCTTCAATAAAGTTTCTAAAGTGTCTGACCTGGGCCAGCTACTGCTGTTGCTCTCCAGTTGCCCACGTGGTGGCAGTGTCCTCCAGCTTAGAGCCAGCTCCCGACTCTCAGGATCCCAGGGCTCCCTCACCTTAGATCTGTCCTGAAGGGAAGAAATCATCCCACTCTTGTTCACCCCACCCGCTCAGCAAGCTCTGTGATTGTGGGGCCAACACTCATTGTCCCCTTTGGTCACCTGCTCTTCTCCCTGGTTCTTAAGATCGGGGCACTTCCAGGAGCCGTCAGCAACTTCTTCATCCCCTAGAGATCCTCTTAGAACTCTCCCTGCATCAGGCAGAACACTGAACACTAGACCCATATCCTTGGAACCTTGTTGGTGTCACTCTGGTTGGTGCCTCCCTACAGTGTAAGGCTGGAAGCTCTCCTGAAGCTCATACCGCTCCCCTCCCCGCTTCCCACATCACAGCGGAAGCCCTGGGCTGCTCCCCTCCTCCAGAGGCAGGCTTGCAGGGAAGAACTAAGCTTTTGCCTCAGGCAGGGTGGGTGGGAGTCCTTGAGAGGGGTGTGGGTAAGGGTCAGCCCTCTGTCCCCACTCTGTGCACCAGTTAAGAGGCACACACATTCTCTAATGTCACTTTATTGGAAGAGGCAACAGTAGCCCAGATGGAGGTGAAATGGGGACTGTACAGAACGGATTTTAAATGCTAAGAAAGAATTCACTGGTTCCTCCAGTTCACAAGAAGGCTGCCAAGGCAGGAGCCTGGAGCCTGAAAAATGGGGATGGCAAGAGGTTTCATGACAGAGGACCAGTGCCTACGCCAGTCCTAACATCTCCCACCTATATGGACTCCTATCTCTGTTCTCCCTCCTACAATGCCAGGTCTGGCTAGTGAGACCGTCCCCAGCTCCCAGCGGGAGAGAGGGCCACCGCCTCCGCACTTCTCAGACCCCTTTCACAGGATGTGGGTGGTCCGCTCCCCAGCCACTAATTCTGGAAGCACTGATTGTCTGCCCAGTAAAGCCTCCTCCGGGAGCAGGCTGGTCCACCCCACAGCCAGGGTCTCAAAGGATGGGGTGGGGCCAACTGAAAGTGGGTGAGGAGGGAAGACAAGATAAAGGGCAAGCGAGGGGGGCGGAGGATGGGGCCGGCTCAGTCCGGGTAGATGATGAAGCCAGAGAAAGTGCTGTACTTGTTGGTGTTCCCGCCATGCACCTTTCCGCCGTCCAGCTTGATGAAGACTTCATCGCCCACATCCAGGTGCAGGATGACGCTGTTGCTGGCGTAGTCATAGTTCTGGTCTGCGTCCTGGGCAATGGCGCTGGCCCGGACCTACCGAGAGAGAACAGAACAACCCCCTCACGCCCTGTGCGGAGCTGGGGTGGTGAGAGGGGTCGGGCGGATAAGTGCAGCTGGGCCTGTGTAAGTAGCTGGCTGCAGGGCCTGGGGTGGGCAAGGAGAGGCCAGGAGATCGCGGAGCTTCTCAGGCACTAGTCTCACTAGCTATGTGACTCTGGCAAGTCTCACACCTTCTCTGGTCCTCCATTTGAGCTGTAAGGTGGAGGTAATAATAGAGCCTACCCTAAATTAGTTACTACATGTGAAGTGTATTAGAACAGTGTTTTGCACATAGAAAATGCTGTAAGGCCTTGCTATTATTATTATCATTTAAGAAATAAAATTTTTAAAAAAGAAATAAAATTAGCCTGTAATTTCTAGGGTAATTTCTAAGATTCTGAACCCCCTCTGGCCTCCTAAACTTGCATTCCTATCCCCAAGTGTTAGGACACAGGTGTGTCCATGCATATCAAGGCTGCGGGCTTTAAATGGGAAGGTGCAATGATGCATGCGTGCCTTGGGGTGCCCACTTCCCTCCTAGTTCCCTCTAGCGGACCCAGAGGGGTCGCCTTCTTCCCCAACAGGTAGCCCCTCCTCCTCTCTGGTCTCGCTGCCCGCTGCCTCCTGCTGCCAGCCCCGCCCCCGCAACTCCCCCTCTTCCTGTCCCGCAGGGGCTGGTTATTAACTCATTAATTATTCATCATTATTCTAATCACTATTTACTGTCCTCAGGGCCCGCAGCGCCCGCCCGTGCAGTGCAATTCTGAGTGGGAGCCACGCAGCCCCGGCCTCCTCGGAAACCGGCACACTCTATACACACTGCCTCTTCCCCTCCCCTCACTGATATCCCCGCTGCAGAGACCGCACACCTCCTCAATGCCACATACAAATAGATGTGCTTTTTGTTCACACCTTTGCACCAGCCCAAGCACCCAAAGACACACTCAGATCAATACACACTCACTTGCACACACAATCTATCTCATACAGAGAGACACACAGACACTCGCACTCCCTCTCCCTGGGTTCCTAGGGCGGCCCTGCTGGGAGGAGACCCCAGTGCAGTGCCTGCGGGCCTTGCAGCAGGAGAGCGCTGTGGCCCAGCAGGAGGGAGTTTCCCCAGCCAGGATGAGCAGGCCCGATGCAGCACAGCACCCGCAACACCACCCAATCCCGGCGTGTGGGGGGAGGGGCATTCCGAGGTCACCGCTAAGTCTCAACCTTATGCCCTGATGCTTGCATGGCCCAGGCACCTAACCCAAACCCTACGCCGGAGGCCCCTCACTATTGCTGTGTGTCTGGGTCCTCGAGCTAAGCCAAGGCAGCAGTGACTCTAGCTCTGACCACAGGGACAGGGAGCAGCAGAACCTGGAGGCCAGAGGTTGCCAGGGAGGATGTGTGGCCTACCGGACCAGGCCCCACCTTCTCTGCTTTGCCTTTCCTCCTCCAAACCCGTCCTTTGCCTTTTTTCCGTCTCCAAATCCGTTCCTTCAAGCTGCCTGGCTGGTCCCTCAGTGAATATACCAGTTCTCACCTCTGCCTACGGACTCGGTATTAGCTGAGTGTGAGGCCGCTCTAGAATTGGCCCTAGGCCCTGGGACTAGCAATAGCGCTGATGGTGAATGAGCCAGTATGTCCCTTCTTTTTTACCGTTTCCTTAAAAAATCCAGGCTG